TCACAGACGTTCTTTCCAGCCATCCTATTGGAGGTCGACCGCTGGAAAGGAGAAGGGTCGTCTGGAAAATCCTGTTTTCTTGTTTTTAGACAAAGCAAGTGGCACGCCTAATAACCAACTCACGTGGTAAAGGCCGGCTGAGGATTTTTTGAGGAAACAGATATATTCAACAGCAATAAGCTGTCGAATATACTTGCCAGTAAAATAAAAAAAAAAATTTGAAAAATCTGGAATTAAAAATCTTATATTATTTTCTATTAATTTTCTATTAATTTTATATAGAAAATCAATAAAATAAACACAATTATCAAATTACCTAGCAATATATTTATCAAACAATTTTAACAATAATATAAAAAGTAATAGATAATCATAAATAAAATTAATATTAGCATTAACTTTAATTATTTAAAAAATGAGCTACTGTTTCTATCATAAATAACAGAAAAAATTTATATCAAGTGATAAGAATTTTAAAAAGAAAAGAAGATAAAAAGAAAAATTATAAAATTTACCTCACATTACTTTATAAGAATCAATGTATAAAAATCTGAAACAAAAAAAAAAATATTAGTATATTAACTAATAAAAATTCAACAAAAAAAGAGAGAATAGTGAAAAGAAAAAGATGATTAAAGGTAATTTATGAAAATATAAAGAGAAGAATGTAAAGGAAAATAAAAGGAGAAGAAACTTAAAAAAAGATGTTATCTGCGGAAAAAAGAGAAGGAGGAGGAGAAGGGAAGAGGCAAAAAAATGAAAATGAGAAGAGAATGAAATGGTCTGCTGTCGGAGTAATATTTATATGTCAAACATATTTGACAAAATTTCTGTCGAATATGTTTAAAATCTAATTACCGGGAAAGATTCAATTTTTTCTGTGGTAACCGAGAAATTCAATTTTTGTGGGGAGACCGGGAAATTCAATTTTTTTGGGGAGAGGGACATGGGTTATATTCGACAGCCAATAAAGCTGTCGAATATACTGAGTTTTTTTTTTTTTTTTTGCGGGAACTTGAAATATTTTCTAGCTGGGGAAATTCAATTTTTTGGCTGGGGGACGACGGAGGTGGGTTATATTCGACAACCAACATGGCTGTCGAATATAGGTGTTATATTCGACAGCCAATATGGTTGTCGAATATACTGACTTTTTCTTTTGGTCGGGAAGTTGAAATTCTTTCTAGTTGTGGAAATTCATTTTTTGGGCCGGGGGGACGTCGGGGTGGGTTATATTCGACAGGCAATAGAGCTGTCGAATATACTGAGTTTTTTTTTTTTTTTTTGGCCAGGAACTTGAAATATTTTCTAGCTGGGGAAATTCAATTTTTTT